GCATCACCATGGAGGGCTGGACCGACATCCTCTACAACGTGAGTTCGCCCCGGTCCGGCCGCCCGGCCCGGTTCCGCCTTCAGACCCACCCCGAGGTCCACGGGGATCGGTCTCAGCTCAGACTCTTTTTTTTAAAAGATAAATATATTTAAAAAAATATTTTTATTGATTTCAGAGAGGAAAGGAGAGGGAGAGAGATGGGAGCATCCGTGATGAGAGAGAATCATGGGTCGGCTGCCTCCTGCACGCATCCTCCTGGACCGAGCCCACAACCCGGGCCTGTGCCCTGATGGGGAGTCACACTGTGACCTCCTGGTTCCTAGGCCGATGCTCACCACTGAGCCACACGGCTGGGCACACTCAGACCCTTAACTGGGGCCTGCAGCTTCTGCTAGGAAAGCGACTGAGGCAGGTGGTGGCGGTCAGAGAAGACAGGTGCAGAGCCGTCTCCTGCTGCCCACGCGGGGCGAGGCCGCGGCAGCCCCTGGCGTCCTGTTCCGTCGCTCGCTTCACTTCGGGCCTGGGAGGAGTCTTGTCCGTGAACCAAGGGTCAGCGTGAACCCGCTGCAAGGAGGAGGCGACAAAGCTCACTGGGGGTCGCTGTGTGCACCTCGAGCTCAGCTCCCTGCTGCCTCCTGGTGGAGAAGGGACGGGGCTGCCTGCGGGTGGGGAGAGTCGGGGCTGAACTGGGCCGGGGCCCAGGGAGACGGCTGTCGCCACGCCAGGTGCCTGGTGAGCCTGTGCCTTGTCCCCTCGTTTCCTCTTTGGTTTCCCACCCGACAGCGCGGCAGCCCTGCTGTGCCGTGCGGGCCGTCGCCATGAGAAGCTGGTGCAGCCCTGGGGGAGCCGGTGCCTGTCCCTCCCACCTTCCCGCCTGTCCTTGTCCTGGGCAGCCCTGTCTCCTTTAACGGGACGGCCTCCCCTCCCCCAGCCACCCCCGCCCCCTCGAGCCCTGGGAAGCACCGGGCAGGGGAGCCATGGAACGAGTGCCCAGTGGCTGTGGGAGGTGGGCGGGGAGGGGCCTGGGAGCCAGGAATCCGGCCGGGAGGGGTGGCCCGGGGTTGCCAGGTTTTGCATCGGTAGAAGGTGTGCTCTGCTCCTGCAGCTGTGGGTGGGGTGACCCTGGAGCATAAGGTGCTTCCGTTTGAATCCTCACTTGTGCGCTAGGGTGGGGCTGGGCTGCGGCTCCTGGAGCCTGTGCCCCTGCCTCTGGGGCTTGTGGGGGCCCCGGTGAATCTGGGGGCTGGGCACCCAGCAGGCAGAGGGATGAGGAACTCGGGCGCTGGCCCCAGGTCTAATGAACTAGATTCCTTTCTGGAGTGGAAGCCGTGTCTGACGACAGCTCTGTCTGAGCGCAGGACAAAGGCAGGGATGACGGGCTTGGCTGTTCTCTCCCTCAGCCGATCAAGGAACACTTTTCACAAAGAGAGACCCTAAAAATAGCTCTGAGCCGGCCGCATCCTCGCCAGCCCCACCCGAGGGCGAGGCTGCAGCGCGTCCGCACCCCCCAGGGGTCCCGGGGCTTGGCCAGTGGATGCGACTCCTCGTGGGTCTGCGCCCCCGGGGGGCGGGCAGGAACCAGACCGGGGGCGGGAGGCCCCTCCAGGAAGGGCCACGGGGGCTTCATCCGACACCCATGGGACCCCTGGTGCTGGGCGCGCCCTGAGGAGCTGCCTGTGGAGGGTGACAGGAGAGTCAGTGAGAAAGGGCTCTCGGCCGGCGCTCTGAAGAAACACTGGCGGGAGGTCTGCCGCCAGCCGGCAGTCGCTGCGGGACGCAGCTTGGAAGTTTGGCGGAGCCCCCGGACGCGGTGACGGCGATGCGCCGTGAGGCTGGCGCCGGAGCAGGTGGCCACTGTCCACACGGAGAGCGGAGAGCAGGGCCGGTGCGGGAGGCTTGTCCTCACCAGCCCAGGGCGGGGCTTTCTGGTTCCCGCAGACGCGGGCTCCTGAGCAGGGGGCCTCTCGGGGGACGGGGACGGGGACGGTGGGCAGCCAGGAGCCCTTTTAAATTCCGGCCCAGGGTGATGGGGTCTCAACAGAGAGCGTCACTCAGCGCGGACCCCTGAAAACCAGGCGGTGGGGCTGCCCCAGCTGGGGAGAGGGGTCAGCGGAGTCCAGTGAGTTCCTGTGGCCCAGAGAGACGGCTATCTCGGGGGCGAAGGAGGGGCTTGCCTGTCCCCCCTCTACCCCCCCCCCCCCGTTCCTGTGCTGGCTGCCAGCCAGCCCGGCAGCTGTGGAGGGAGGGTGCTGCCTGGGGCACAGGGACCTCACGTCCCTCCGCACGTCCCTCCCGCTGACGGAGGCCAGCTGTGCCGGCCTCTCTGTGTGGAGCATGTTGACCACTTTGCTAGCAGCCGGTCTGGACACTCTGAACGCAGACTGCTTTCTACTGGGCGTGACTGTGGGACGTCCTGTCACACTTTCCTCCAGGGCCAGTGGGAGACAGTGCGGGTTCCGTACACGTGGTTCTGACACGGTCACTGTACTGGGGAAGGCGTGTGCGTGTGCGTGTGCGTGTGCGTGTGCACACCCCTAGGCTGTGTGCTCTGCAGTCGCCTGATGGGGGACCAGGAGAGGAAGAATCAGGTGTGAGCTGAGCTGTGGGGGTACGGAGGGGGGAGCGGGGGGAGCAGGGTGTCTGCTCAGTTTTGCTGCCGAGGAGAGGGGTGGAGCCTGCATTCTGCTCTGACCCGTGAAGTTCTCGATGACCATTTTATGCCAGTGGGTGCTGCGTGTGCAGTGGGCACACAGGGACGCAGGGCTGCTGGTGCCGTGTGAAGTCACGGGTGGGGTGAGATCGCCTGGGTAACGAGTGCAGATGGAGAAGCAAAGGCCTGGCGCTGAGCCGGCTCCACCTCAGAGGCGAGAGGAGCCAGGTCAGGGGTCATGAGAGCTCCAGGAAGGGGCAGGTAAACGTGACCGGAGCAGGACGGGCATGAACCCTGGAAGGCAGGTTAAAGGTTAAAGGTTAAAGGCGGAAGGCAGTACTAGGTGAGGGTGGTACAGAAAGTCAACTCGGAAGGGCTTTCTCTGGGACCTGGAGCCGGGCGGTGGGAGGTGATGCAGGGAGATCCGGGAACTGACTCTGAAGTTACCAGGTGGACCGGTTAATAATGCGGATTAACTGTCAACCGGTTAATAATGCGGATTCTGTAATCAAAGAAAACACGATAATTTCAAGAGAAACATCAGAAGCGCTTTATTCAAAGTAACGTCCATCGCTAGCTACACATCCCCCATCTTTCAGGTAATTTGTGGATCCGCCCCAATAGAACTTTTCTTGTTTGAGGCAAACCATTCAGAGACCCAATTTCCCACTTCTTCACACGTTTTGAAGTGCTGCTCAGAAAGTGCGTGTGCCAGCGATGGGAACAAGTGGTCGTCTGAGGGAGCAAGGGCTGGTGAATAGGTTGGCGGGTGGGTTAACACTTCCCAGGCAAGATCTTTTCACGTGTCTTTAACTGGTTTTGAAGTGTGTGATGGTGCGTCATCATGAAGCAAAATTACTTTGCCGTGTCTTCTGGCCCATTCTGGTCGTTTCACAATCAAAGTGTGGTTCAAATTGATGATTTGTTGTCGGTAGCGATCAGGATTAACGGTTTCACCTGGTTTGGGAAGCGCGTAATACACCACACCTTCCTGATCGCACCAAACGCAGAGCATTGTCTTCTTTCCGAAGCGATTTGGCCTTGCAGTGGATGTTGATGGTTGACCTGGATCAACCCGTGATTTTGTGCATTTGGGATTCTCAACATAAATCCACTTTTCGTCCCCAGTCACAATTTGATGCAAAAAAGACTTTCTTTCGTGCCGTTGAAGCAACATTTTACTGATGACTTTTCGGTTTTCCATCTGCCTTCCGTTCAGTTGATGTGGCGCCCGTTTTCCTTCCTTTAAAATCTTTCCCATTGCTTGTAAACGATCGGACATGGTTTGCTGAGCAATGTTTCATCTTCCTGCAAGTTGTTTTTGAGTTCGACACACATCTTCATCCAATAATGCTTCTAATTGTTGGTCTTCAAACTTTTTCGGTTGACCTGGATGTTCTTTGTCTTTCACATTGAAATCATCACTTTAAAGAGTTTAAACCAGCGTTCACAAGTGTCTTGAGATGGAGCATGTTCACCATAAGCTTCCCGAAGTATACGATCACTTTCAGCAGCACTTTTCTTCAAAATAATGAATTAAAACTTCCCGCAAATGCTCTTTTTTTGTCACAAAATTTGACATTTTTAAGTGTAAAAATATCTATGATGTTAACACCTTCAGCAAATTTGACATATGAAGTTTTGAAGCTTGCTGTCAATACAACAAAATAGCACACATATCAAATTGCATATATACCAACATATGTGTAACTCCATCTATTGAAAGAATCCGCATTATTAACCGGTGCCCCTGGTGAAGGCTTTCCGAGCACAGTGGCCGGAAACAGCAGAGATCCCGCGGTCCGTGCCGTGTCCTCCAGGGCCACAGCCTGCAGAACGAGCTGTGTCGCCGGCCGGTGGGAGGCTGTCCCGTCCCTGGCAGCCACTGCCCGGGTGCCGGCTGTCATGTCTGTAGCTTTGTCCTGGCCGGTTCCCTCCACATGGTTCTCTGGAGGTTCACCCAGACGTGGTGCTGGCGGCTGGCCGTGGAGCGGGCGGAGCCTGTGCCTCCTCCACGCTCGGCCGTGGGAGAGCGTCGGGCCGCCCAGCCCGGGGCCGCTGGGAATAACGTGGCTCCGCACGCCTGTGCGCAGTTTCTGTGCAAACGGAAGCCTTTGTTCCTCTGGGGAGGTGCCCGCGTGCGGTTGCTGGCTCTGTCATCGTGCGTGGTTAGTGTTTAAGAAGTAACCTCTCCGGGAGCCGTGTTCGTTCACATCCCACAGCAGGTGGGAGTCATCGAGTTTCCCGGTGCCGTCGCTGTTTTGACTCGAGCCCTTCGGAGACGCACGCAGGGCCGCGGCCGCGTGGACTTCAGTTCCTCACGCTCCTGGTGGGAGCTCTCCTCCTGCTGGTTGGCCACGTGTGTGTCCTCTGCCGTGACCCAGCACCTGGTGTCTCCTGCCCTCGGGCTGTGTGGATTGTTCTTGCTGTGGAGCTTTTCTGGTTCGAGATCCGTCCTTGTCACTGAATGGTGTTTCATTCTGGCTTTGAGGCCTGCAGTTCCCTAGTGGCGGCTGCAGGGAGCACCTGTGTGTCCTCATCACACCGTCTGTGTGTGTTCTCTGGGGAAATGTGTATTCTGGTCCTTTGTCCATTTGAAAGTTGGGTTATTTATCGCCCGGCCGGCGTGGCTGTGGTTGAGCGTCGACCTAGGAACCAGGAGGTCACGGTTCCATTCCCAGTCATGGCACAGGCCCGGGTTGTGGGCTCCATCCCCAGTGAGGGGCGTGCAGGAGGAGGCAGTCGATTCATGATTCACTCTCATCACTGATGTTTCTATCTCTCCCTCTTCTTTCCACTCTGAAATTATATTCTTTTTTTAAAAAATATATTTTATTGATTTTTTACAGAGAAGGGAGAGGGATAGAGAGTTAGAAACATCGATAAGAGAGAAACATCGATCAGCTGCCTCCTGCACACCCCCTACTGGGGATGTGCCTGCAACCAAGGTACATGCCCTTGACCAGAATCGAACCCGGGACCCTTCAGTCCACAGGCCGATGCTCTATCCACTGAGCCAAACCGGTTAGGGCTGTATATATATTCTTAAAAAGTTCGGTTATTGGTGGTTTTATTTATTTTGAAAATTTTTTTGGTTAATTCTTCTCACTCAAGGGTATTTTCCCATTGACCTTTAGAGAGAGTGGAAGGGAAGGGAGAGACAGGGAAACATTGATGTGAGAGAGAGCGATTGGTTGCCTCCCGCATGCACCCAGCTGCTGAGCCTACGGTGTGATTGTTGATCTGACCTTTCCCTCTTGCTGTGCGTTTACCTCCTGGTCCTGCTTTAGCTCTGTCCTTCGAGTTGCTGTATTGTGGTCTCAGTTTCATTCAGTTCCATGAATTTCCATTCAGTTAAAAACTCCCTCAGGCTCCTTGTTCCTGCTGGGTGGGGGTGGTCTGCTCGGTAGTGTGCCTCTAGGGTGCCCCTGGTTGGGAGGGTCAGTGAGCCTCTGCTCTCCGCATGGTCTGTGCTGTGTGGGTGGGTGTGTCGCCTTGTACTGCGGGTGCAGGTGGAAGCCCTGACTCTCCACGAGGCCCCTGACAGCACCTCAGCAGGGTGGGGGGGTGTGTCTCCTCCTGCCACGTGGAGTGGAATCCAGGCTCCCACAGGGGTGGGGGGGCAGGAGCGGCCGCGCTGTCCACCTGCTGAGGGGGACTGTCCCAGCCCCTGCTGTTCTCTGGTGTGGGTGTGGCCAGGTGGGTGTCCTCATCACAGTCTGGCGGGGGGAGTCTGGCTCCCTGCTGGGCCTCTGCTGGCAGGGACACCGGTGGCAGCAGTGTGGCTGGAGTGGTGTCCTGCGGGGCTGCCCCTGGCCCTGTGGTGAGAGCTGGCTTTTGTGTTGAGTGTTCCCGCTGTGCCCATTGGCACTTCCAGGCCGCAGGCTTCTCCAGCGACAAGTCTGGATACACGAGGCGACGAACAAACCAGTACACACCCGCACGCTCTCCGTGGGTCCTGGGTCCCAGCGTCTGCCTCCTTCCCCTCCGCCACCTTCTCAGGGTCTTCCCGCGCCTGCTCTCTGGCTGGCCTGCTCTCTGGCTGACGTCCAGGCGCTAATTGTCCCGGGTGGGAACAGTAGGAAGCTATGTCTACGCGTCTTCCCAGAAGTACACGCCCGTTGTTTTGTTTAAGAGCAGAGGAGAGTGGCTTGGCTGCTGCCGGGAACGAGCCATTAGAGGAGGTTGCAGGAGCCAAGTCTGAGTAGGGGGGGCCGGCCGCACGCGCTGCTCCTGCTCCGTGGGGTCGCCATAGCCCACAGGCGTGGCAGGAGGGCTGGCGAGGCGAGGGCAGGTGCGGCTGGCACTGGCGTTACGTCTTTTCCGGGTCAGTGTCAGGAGTCAGAGCCGCATGTTGGAGACGGTCCCGGGGCCGCGGGAACTCGGGGCAGAGTCTGTCCGTCCCGCCCAGGCCACATGGAGGCTGGAGTCCCCAGGGCTGTCCTGCCTCTGCCGGCCCAGGGCGCTGGCCTTGACTGGAGCTGCCTCTAGAGAGCAGCACAGGGCCGGTGGTCGCCGCCGCAGCACCCAGCACTGGGCCCAGCCACACCCACCAGGACCCGTACAGACAGAACAGCAGTCGGAAGTTACCTGGATCCAGGGCCCGCGCCTTCTGTGGGCTGTGCTGTGAGCACCCTCGGCCCGGGAGGTGCCCTTCTGTGCATCCGGTTAGGCCATGCCGAGTGCAGGCTCTGTCATGGGCCAGGCGCGTGCCGGGACGTCCTCTGGGGCTTTGGGCTTCCTGTTGATCTCGGGACCATGGGCCGGGCTCCCGCCTCTGAGGTGAGGAGGCTGCGGCAGACAGGTGGTCAGACGTGGGCCTTGGGGGCCGTGGGCTGCCCACAGGAGCAGCCTGGGGAGGGAGGGGGTGTCCAGGCAGAGGCCGGCCTGCCACCCTCGGTGCCCTGGGGGCCTTGCCCTGGGCCGGCTCCTTGGCGTTGCGGTTGCAGCATGGCTGGGCCGGGCCCCAGAGAGCTCCGTGGGGCAGGGGCAGAAGGGCTTCCCGAGTCCCGCCTGGGCCCCTCGTCCCCGCCTGCACTCTCCCTGCCTGGACTCTGCCAGGAGCTTGAGAAGGGGCCAGGGCACCTCCATAGCGAGGACCCTGTCTTGTCCCCTGTCCTTCCTCATCTCCTCTTGCTTCCAGACAAACGATGCTGCCGGCAACACCTGGAACTGGCTGTACTTCATCCCCCTCATCATCATCGGCTCCTTCTTCATGCTCAACCTGGTGCTGGGCGTGCTCTCAGGGTAAGAGCCGCGACGGCTGGCGCTGCCCCTGCGTGTGCTCGGGTGATGGCGCGGACACAGGCCTGTGTGACCCGGGGAGTGGGGGGGGGGGGGCGGTGAGGCCTGGCCTGGCCACAGGGCTGCCCTCCATGCGGGCAGGCACTCCCAGCATCCTGAGCACTGGCCAGCTTCTCTCTGTGCTGCCATCCTGACCTCTTCCTGACCGTCCCCTGTCCCTGGCCTTCACCCTGGGCCCTGACTGTGGGGAGGGGCTGCTGCTGTCTCTGATGGGGTCCCTGGTGAGTTTGGGGCAACAGCGGTGACCAGAGAGAATGGAGCAGCCCTGAGTCGGCCACAGCAACTCCTGGGCTCTCAGCCGGCCCTGACCCATCGCCTCTCCGCCGCGCCCGGGGAGGACAAGAGGGCGCGAGGCTGGGGTCCTTCCTCAGGGAAAGTGCTTCTTGACTCACGTGGGGTGAGCGGGAGCACGCCTGGGGCACACAGGGCCCGGCTGCGTGCGTGGGCTGGCCTGCTCCCTGTCCCCGCCTTGGCGTCAGTCCCCCCCATGCGGCTGGAGAAGGTCTCTGTCCCGCCCACCCGGAGGGCTCCATTCAGGCCCGGGGCCTGAGGTGGGGAGGAGCCTCGTGGGCTCAGGGGCAGCTGTCATTCTGGCCTGGAGAGGAACCACCACCGAGGGGTCCATGGTGGCCCCGGCCTGCGTGCTCTGCTCCGACCTGGCCCTGGCCCGGGGCCTCTCCTGTGAGGGCGTGCTTGGCACCAGCACGTGTTTGCAGGCCCAGAGCGCTGGGCACGGGGTAGAAGTCCTGGTCGCGCTGGGTGGTGGCGGCTGCGAGCAGCCCCGATGGAGAATGTGCAGGAGGAGGGTGGGCGGAGCTGCCCTCCTGCTGGGAGCATCCTGGCCTCTGGGGGGTTGTCCTCATCTTGGCTGCACCTCCCTCCGGTGTCCAGGTCCGCCCGGGGACCCAGCTTCTCTTCCAGCCCCGCGGGGGCGTCCCTGAGGCCAGCGGCCAGGCAGAGCGTGTGGGTCCCTCACGGGTGCTCTCCAAGGCAGCGGCATTAGGTGCCACCCGCAGCCTGGACTGGGGGAGGGGGGCTCGGCCTGCAGGACCTGGTGCAGCTGCAGTGTGCCTGGCGGGGGAAGCTGCCGGAGGGAGGGCTGGCTGTTCCTCCTCCGCCCGGGCCCGCCCTGCACCCAGAGAAGCAGTTGGTGATTCCTCCGCTAACTGCGGCTGGAGGAGGGCAGGCCTGGTGGCGCAGCGAGTCCCTGCTGGTGGCTGTCGGCTGAGTCGGCAGTACTGTCATGGCCCTGGCCCTGCCCCAGGCCCTCCTGCCCTGGGGACCCTGTGTTCTGTGACTCAGAACTTGGGGGGAGCTCAGGCAGGAGCTCTTTCCTCTCCTGCCGGATGCCGCAGCTCAGGCCCTGGCGGGCGCCGGCCTCAGGCGAGAGGTCAGGTCTGGGCAGAGCCAAGCCTCCCTCTCTGCGGCTGGGTGCCAGGAGCCAGGCCTGCCAGACGCCATCGTGTCCAGAGCCGCTTTCCTGGAAGAGAGACAGCCTCCCGCTGAGGACCGCATGCTCTTTGCCGTGGGGGGCCTGGATCCTGCCCTGAGCCTGAGCTGGGAGAGCTCGGCCAGACTGGACGGGTGTGCGCGCTCGTAAGCGTGTGGGTGTGGATGGCCTCCTCCCGGTGCTGCGGGCCTGAGAGCTCGGCTGGGCCTGGGGAGGCAGGTGAGCTCCCCGCTCACCCGGAGCCTCCGTGTTGGCTGATGGACTCGAATGCTTCCCTTCTTCCCTATCCCTGGCCTGGCCTGTCCTGACCCAGCTCCTCCTCCCTCCTCTCGAGCAGCAGAGGACCCAGGGGGCGTCTCCTCTGGGGAATCCTCGTCCCGGGGCTTCCGGGGTGACAGACGACAGGGCCTGGCTGGTGGAGGGAGGGGCAGGCCGGCCCTGAGCAGGGGGATGTGGCTGGTCCGTGCCCCCCAGAGCCCCCTCCGGGGACCGAGGTGCTGTCATCTGTGCGTGTAGGTGTCTGAGCAGGAGGGTCGGCTGTGCCCTCTGCATGCTCAGGTCAGAGGCCAGGCGGTGGGTTTCCTGTCGCAGCCCCTCCCTGGTCCCTGCCTCGGGGACCTGAGCTGTGCTGTGTCACCCCGCCTCACAGGGAGTTCGCCAAGGAGCGCGAGCGGGTGGAGAACCGCCGGGCCTTCCTGAAGCTGCGGCGGCAGCAGCAGATCGAGCGGGAGCTCAACGGCTACCTGGAGTGGATCTTCAAGGCCGGTGAGCGCTGCCTGGCGCCTGGCCTGTTGGCTTCCTGTCCGGCCCCGGCCTGGGGGACACAGGGTGTCTGTCCCGGTGGAGAAGGCCCAGGGGGCCCGCAGGTTTCTGGGACGCAGAGGCAGAGGCGCGCTGCGTGGGGGCTGCGCGGGGGCGGGGCAGGCAGGCTCGCCCTGAGGCTGTGGCCGTGTCTCTCACAGAGGAAGTCATGCTGGCCGAGGAGGACAAGAACGCGGAGGAGAAGTCCCCCCTGGATGGTAGGTCACCCCTGGTAGCACTTCCTCCCCACGGGTGGCCACGCGTGCACAGGTGCGTGGTGGGGCAGGAAGCTGTCTGCCAGGCCAGGCCTCTGCACATCGTCACGTGCGCACACGCCTGGCAGAGCCCTTCCCGGGAGGCCCTGCGATGGTCAGCACGTGCTCCTGGTGAGCCCTGTGCCGTGGGTCCACACAGCACAGCCATGCCCGCGTGGTTTCAGCCTGGGCATCGCGGGTACCTGTGCTCACAGCGTGGCCCCGAGAGCTTGCTGTGCAGGAGGCAGCGTGGCTGTGACAGCTCCCACGCAGGTGCCTCGCAGTGAAGTGGAGGCGAAACTGCAGTGGCTCGGCCCCGCTGCCCACATCTCAGGTGCCCAGTAGCAGCCGGGCTGGTGCTTCCATCTCGGCCAGCGAAGACCTGAACGTTCCCGTCACCATAGAGCTTTCTGTGGGACAGGCCGCTGTTGCACCTTTAAACCTCAGGGCAAACCAGCTGCATCTGTCTGGGCCCAGGGGAGGCCGCCCCAGGCTGCCACCGAGAGACACTGCCTGGGGCCACGGGGCAGGGCAGGGCCAGCTGGGCCCAGGTCACAGGTCACAGCCCGGGGGCAGGAGGGCTGCAGCCTGCACACCCCTCCCCCACAGGACGGGGCAGACCTGGCCAGGCGGAGGGGTGTCTGTAGGGCCCCAGCCAGGCTGTGAGCAGGTCTGCAGAGCTGGCCTGACCTCTGGTCTCACCTGGCCAGCCGTGCAGGCTTGGAGCTGTGCAGGCCGGGCCTTGCCCAGCTGACCCGGTCACCTAGGGGCAAGGCCGTTCCCGGGGAGAGAAGGGACAGCAGGAGCCACCGTCATACCTCTGGTCCCTTTGCTTGAGCACCAGAGTCATCCCACATCCCCATGCCTCCGTCTCAGGCAGGACGTGGGAAGGGCCCCAGGCCCAGGAGGACGGCGGATCCTCTGCGGGGCGGAGGCAGGCAGCCTGCACGGGCTCACGCGTCCCCACCTCTGCCCTTTGCTTAAAGCAGTGCTGAAGCGGGCGGCCAACAAGAAGAGCCGCAACGACCTGATCCACGCCGAGGAGGGCGAGGACCGCTTTGCAGACCTCTGTGCTGTGGGTGAGAGTCCGGGCTCGCCTGGCTCCGTGGGCGGGGTCTGGGACCCAGCTTCCTGCCCGTCACCGGGGCTGCCCCGCTCTCTGGGCCCCTCCTTCCCCACTGCCTGCCCCGCCCAAGGAAGCTAGTTCCGTGCCCACCGCGGGCGGGAACACAGCGTTTGCCCGTGTGTGCCCTGGGGCAGCTCCTGGAGGCCGCCTGTGCCCAGGCCGGAGCTCGCTGGTTCAGCGCACTCGCTGGCTGCGGGCTGCTCCGGGCTCTGCCGTTCCCCCGGCCGCTGCTGGAACCCACAGATGGTGGCCTAGATGCGGAGGCAGCGCCAAGGGGTGTGGAGTGGTTGGATTCTGGATATATTTGGAGACCAGCCCACGGGGTTGGCTGACCAAGTGGACGTGGGCGTGAGAGAGACATCAAGGTGGCTCCACAGGACAGAGGAGCCAGCCCACGTGGGGCTGCGGGCAGTGTTGGTGGGGACTCACGTCCAGCCTTGCTTTGGGACACGCGAGTTGGCCATGTGGGTTGGAGAGCGGGGGCCGTGCCGGGGGCGCCGGGGGAGCTGGTGCACGTGCGGGAGGCCTGGTTTCCCGGCGGAGGCAGGAAACGGGCACTATCGCTGGGGAAGGTGTGGCAGTTCCTGCTCCTGCTGCCTGGCCCGTGGACTGGGTGCTGGGGGAGGGGCCAGAGGGGCCTGGTGCAAACATGGCCATGGATGCCCCTGCGTGGTTGCCTTTGCTGAGGGGGGGAGTGTGTGGCTGTCTCCTGTGGGCACAGGTGGGTGTGGGGAAGCCAGGCGGGGGTGGGGGGGGCAGTGATCCCGTGGAGCCGGCCCCGGCAGAGCGGACTGTTCTCCCGGCACGGTCAGCTGGAGAGCGGGAGGTGAGTGGTTGGGTTCTGATACATCGGAGACCAGTCCACCGGGTTGCTCACCGGCCACATGTGCTCACAGCATCTCCCGGAATCACGTGTCCTCTTCCCCTCCTTCCAGGGTGGCCATGCTTCAAGGTACGTCCTGTGTGGGTCTGTGAGTGTGTGTCTTGGAGGGGGTGTGTGTGTGAATGACCGAGAAAGGGATGGGGTCTGAGTGTGGCTTCACGGACCAGGCTGCACTGCGGCTCTCTGTGCCCCTCGCTGCCTGTGAGGAGGGAGCGGGTGTGTCTGGCCTTGGCCTCGGTGCTGTGCAGCCCTCAGCAGGGCCCGTGGCTTGAGCAGCTCTGGCTCCTCGGCGGTGGCTGTGGCTGTCTGGACGGGGCTGGAGGCTGTGTCCCGGCTCAGCCGGGGAGGCTGGGGTGGAGCAGCGTCCTCCTCGGGTGGGACGGGCGTGGCATCTGGAGTGCCTGCCAGGAAGCTGCCGTTAGGGTTCCGGGAAAGGGCTGCCAGGCCTGGCTGTTGGGCTATGTGGGCTGCCTAGGGTGGTAGCTGCTGCCTGATGCAGCTGCTCCGCGTAGACGCGTCTCTTCAAGGCCTCGGCCTGTTTTCATCTCTGAACCCAGAAACGCCAGCCTGATGGTGTGCTTAGCATGCACACACACACACACACACACACACACTCACACGTGCGTGCGCACACGTGCAGATGCGCTCGACATCATGTAACGCATATGCCCACACTCCCCACCCTCCTGGGACCCGATGCCCACGCCCAGGGGCTTTGAGCGGCACGCACACGCCAGCCCTGAGTGCAGACGCTGGAGAAATCCTGAGGCGGGCGGGGAGCGGCTCACAGCCAGACCCTGCCCTGCTGACCCGTTAAAGAAGGCGGGGGGGTGGGGTGTAGCGGGCCCCCAGGCCGCGGGGAGGAGCCGGTGGCCTGGGAGCACAGGGCTGTGTTCCTGGAAGGTGGCCAAGGGCTGGAGACAGACCACGTCACCCATCGCAGCCCAGCACCCATGAGATGCTGCTGTCCTTGGTGGAACGGGCAGGGCCAGGGCCCATGCAGGGGTGCAGGGGCCAGTGTCCTTGAAGGTGGTTTTATGGGGGGTGAGGGCACCTCTGGAGGAGGGGATGTGTCCTGGGGCTGCTGTTCCCGCACATCCTCAGCGAGCCCCCTCTCCCCAGGGTCCCCCTTCGCCCGCGCCAGCCTCAAGAGCGGGAAGACAGAGGGCTCGTCCTACTTCCGCCGGAAGGAGAAGATGTTCCGGTTCTTCGTGCGGCGCATGGTGAAGGCGCAGAGCTTCTACTGGGTGGTGCTGTGCGTGGTGGCCCTGAACACGCTGTGCGTGGCCATGGTGCACTACAACCAGCCCCAGCGGCTCACCACTGCGCTGTGTACGTAGTGGGCCCGGCCCCCGCTCCTCCCCAGCCACCTCCGGGATGCAGCCTGGAACTCCTGGGCCATTGCCCATGACCTTGGGACGCCCTGACCCAAGTGCCCCCACAGGCTGCTCAGGCCCATCCCAGGGCTGCCCGGGCCTCGGACCTGGGCCCTGGTTCCAGGAAGCCGAGCTGATTGGCTAGCCCTTACCTTTCAGGGGGTGAAACGAGGGAGGGTCTGGGCACTGGGGGGAGTGGGTTGGATGGCCAGGCACCAGCCAGTCCAGGCAGACCTGGGTCCTCCCTGTGGGGCTTCAGACCTACGGGCCAGGGCGCATAGCTGCTCGTGTCATTTGCCACAAGGTGACGCTCCCGCCGGGTCCCCGAGGAGGGGCAGTCGGGCTCCCGGGGCTCCCCTGGCCGTTCCCACCCTCTTTCTGATTGGCTGGTCCGGGTGTGTCCATAACCAGGGCTGACTTACAGCCCTGCGTCTGTGAGCCGCGACGAGGGCCTCGGGGGTCTGAGTCCCGAGTGGTCTCGGCCTTGGTGGCCGTTCCAGGAGGTCGAGGAAGGTAGCAAGGGCGGGGCTCCTTGCTCGTCCAGGCCAGGGTGACCCCCAGGGCTCTGCAGGCCACGGGGCTGGAAGCTGAAAGCTCCGAGCTGTGGAGACAGGCCACTGGTGGGGCCGTGCCCGCAGTGCCCGGCTTCCATCCTGGCTCCCCCCAGGGAGCTCCGTGCGCCTGAAGCCACTGAGCCCAAGAGCCTTTGTCCAGTCCTGGCCCCGCAGGCCGGCCCCACGCCCCCGGGGGCACTGCGCCGGGCAGCTCCTGAAGGCTCGAGGAGCCGTGGACACTGACGGCTCCACAGGCCCTGGGGGATGTGGGAGGGCTCCAGGCTAGTTCCCCACATCCGCCTCGAAGTGTGTCACGTGGACAGCGAGGAAGGGCAGAGGCAGCAGAGCCAGAGGGCCCGGGAGCTTCCGGGAGCGTCCAGCAGGCAGCCGGGCTCAGGCTCGCAGACCACGGGGACTGAAGAGCATGTGACATGCACTGCACGGCCACTCCGGCCTCCCCTGCAGGGCATGAGCCTTCAGAATGAATGAATGAGTGCGTGGTCCCCTTCCTCGGCCTCAGAGGAGGCTGAGCATGAAGCGCAGGGCGGGGCTTCCTGGGTGCAGACAGGCAGGCAGGGCTGCCCTTCCGCAGCCGCCTCGCCCCGTCCGTACCCCTGCGGCCGCTCTCGCCATCTCCCGGAGCAGGAGGCGTGTCTGGGCAGCGTCAGCTTTGAGCCTGTGTTAGTGGCTGGAAGGCCCATCTCTGTGGCCTCCCGCCCAGGACCTGAGCTCTGTTGTGGGGACCCCCGAGGGGTGGGGTGCCTTTGTGATCACACATCGAGGGTGGCCAGGAGCCTCAGGCCTCCAGGTCGCTGGGGCCTTGTGAGCTGCCCTTCGGGGCCGGCCCAACTTCCCCTGCCCCGCCCCCACCCTGTGGGCAGTCATTCAGGGCGGCTGGGGGTCCCTCTGCCCTGAGCTGTTCCTGCCTGAGGGTCAGTGGGTGTCCTTGCTTCTGACCTTGGCCCTCAGCTTCTGCAGGAGGCTCCTGGCCTCCTCGCCCGGCCTGGGTGCCCTGGTGATGCTTCGGTTGGTTCAGAGGAGGCTTGCTCCCTGGGCTGGTTGTCCATGTCCTCAGACCATGGACAGAGGGTCCCCTCCCTGAGCCCTTAGGCCGTACAGACAGTCGTGTGTCCGTCTGAGGCTGGCCCAGGGGGCAGTGGAGTTGATGTCCCCACTCGCCCGGGGTGCAGGCAGCTGCAGACCTGCCCCCATGGTGCCGCGGAGGCTGCAGTGAGTGCGGTGAGCGCGGGAGCGAGGTGGTCTGGTGCGTGGTGGCAGGGGCGTGGGGCCCTCGTCACTGTCTGTTTCAGGAGCAGCTGGAGGTCCAGAGGCCGGAAGCCTGGCCGGTGGCTGCCAGCTGACCCTTCGTACCCTCTCACGGCCTTGGCCTTCGTGTGGGCGCGGCCGTGGGTTCTGAGCTGGGGTCGGAGGGCACAGAGCCGCTGGCCCGCTGTATGAAATGAGCCGATTCCAACTCAGTGCTTGGGGAGGAGGCTCAGCCGGACCTGTCCGACGACGCCCGGATTCTTGGTGTGGCCGTGGCTGGGCCAGCGGGTCTGCTCTCTGTGGCCTCCAGCAACTCTGGGCTTTCTTGCTCCGACTCCTGCACCCCCCCAACCCCCCAGTGTCTGTGCCTGGAATCCCCCACCTGGCTCCCAGCTCAGCGTGTCCTCCCTGCTGTCCTGAGGCCCCGGAGGGTCCGCTCGGCCAGTGGAGGCAGCGGCCACAGGAGCCTCTGTGTGACTCACAGAGCGAGCAGCATGCTGGTCGGGACTGGGGGTGCTCAGGGTGCAGGGGCAAACTGAACAAAGTTCAAACCCAGCCTGGTGCTGGGGGGGTCCATCCGAGCGTGGCGTGGGGCAGGGACTAGGCAGTGGGGTGGGTCCAGGCCGCCCTGCCATCTGCCCTGCTCTGGGTACCCCGAGTCCCATCCGGGAGCTCACGGCTGAGCCTGTCTCACGTCCACGGCACTGGGCATGCCCCGCCTTGGGGACTGGAGTGAGCATCTCTGCACCCCCGTCCTCGGTTGTCCCTGCCTTGGCCTGAGATTTCAGGGCTTGGGGGCCGCAGGCCAGGCTGGAAGGCTCCCCTGAAAGGCCCGGGCCTGGTGTCCTCTGGGCTGGGCTGGGCTGGAGCCGGAGGGAGGAGGCTGCGCGCTAACCCCCTCTTCTCCGGCTTCTCCTAGACTTTGCAGAGTTTGTTTTCCTGGGTCTCTTCCTCACAGAGATGTCCCTGAAGATGTACGGCCTGGGGCCCAGGAGCTACTTCCGGTCCTCCTTCAACTGCTTTGACTTCGGGGTGAGTGAGAAGCCTCCGCAGGGTCAGCGCTGGGGTCCAGGCGGCCGAGCTGGACCTCGCTGGAAGGTGCAACAGCCCCGCCCACTGCCCCACCCAGGGGGACCCAGGGGACTGCAGGACTGTGACCCTGTGGTCAGCAAGGCTGCCTGTGCACGGCAGGTGCAGGTGACAGGGAGGCCTGTCCTGGCCGGGCCCTGATGGGCGGGGCGCTCCGTGGGCTGCCCGCCTGTGGGACTTCTCCTTCCCTTCCCGTCTGTCCCTCCGTCCGTGTCCTCCTGGCAGGGAGGACGGGCCTGGGCCTGTGGCCTGCAGCTCCGTGCCAGGCGTGTGCTTGAACTGCCGAGGAGGCAGGAGGGCGGGGCTGTGGGGGGCGCCGGAGCCTGACCCCCCTCCCCGGCAGGTCATCGTGGGGAGCATCTTTGAAGTGGTCTGGGCGGCCATCAAGCCGGGGACCTCCTTTGGGATCAGTGTGCTGCGGGCTCTCCGGCTGCTGAGGATCTTCAAGGTCACAAAGTATGTCCCCTGCCTGCTCCTGGGGGAGGGGGGCAGGGCAGGCAGCATGTGTGTTTGGGGGGGTGTTGTCCTGGGAATTCATGGGGCTGGTTTGCTCTCCGGTGTCTGGAAACTCTTTCTGTGGCTCATAATTGTATAAATACAGAAAGTGACCGAACCGGCCAGGCCAGCAGCCCACATGACTTCGTCTCGGCCTCGTCGGGGGCACGTCCGTCCTCGGGATCGTCCCGACGGCCTCGGTGTCGCTGGCGGCCTCTCTAGCTCACATCAGCCTCCCACCCATCAGTCCCTCCTCGCCAGGCTCTGCCTGGCTGACCTGAGCCGCCTGGCCCCTGGCCCGCTGTCCGCTCCCATTCATCCCACTTGGTTGCTTGTGTCACTGTAGCAGCGAGTTGCTCTGTTTCGCCCACAAGGAGGCTGAGGTGGGGCAGAGATGGTGCAGGGAGTGAGGACAGCTGGGCTGGACCGCACCTTCATGGCTAGAGCTGTGGTGACGGAACCAGGAGACAGCAGGCTGGGCCCCGGCTGCCTGAGGGCAGGAGGCTCCGCCACGTGAGCGGCTGGGTGTGGGCCCACGATGCCCCAGCGCGGTCTTTGTGCAGCTGCCTCGGCCTGGGCCACAGCCGCTGCGGGACCGGGAGCACAGCTGTCCGTGCGCCTGTGCGGGCCCCGGCTCCAGGTCCCTCCGGGGCACTCGGCCGGTCTCCCGGGGTCTGGGCTGATCACAGTGCCTGGAAGGAAAGCTGGGTGCTCTGGGCTCTGCACAGCAGGAGCCGCGGTGGAGGGGGTCAGGCTCTCTGAGGGTCAGCAGCCAGGCTGTGGGGAGACCCGGGAGAATGAGGGGGGGTGGGGGGGTTGAAGGTGCTGAGGGGACTTGGGCCAGGCTTCACTCCCGCTATAGTGGTCTTTGCAGGGAGGGCCGTGGACTTGACTACATCCTCACGCAGGTCCTCTGGCTGCCACGCAGCTGTCCTCACACAGCACTGCCCGGGGCCCTGGGGGTGTGGGGTGTTGGGTGAAAGGGGGCCTGGAGGAGGTCGGGTCGGGGGCGGCTGCCTGAGGGGGGGGCGTTGTTCTGCTGAGTGGAGTGACCAGAGCGGGTGTGAGGGCCGTCAGCCTGCACATGTCGGCTGTGCCACTCCCGTGGGCCCCGGTGACAGGGATGGCGGGTCGAACTGCGGAGAAAAGCTCCGCCTCCCTCCAGGGGCGTGGCCCTTCGGGGTCAGAAGGTCCCGAAGCCACAGGTGTGACACAGAGCGGGTGAAGGTGGGGTCCGGGTCCAGAGCTGGCCTCCCCTGCCGGGTGCAGCCCTGCGCTCAGACCGCACGCCGCCCCGACAGGTACTGGAACTCCTTGCGGAACCTGGTGGTGTCGCTGCTCAACTCCATGAAGTCGATCATCAGCCTCCTGTTCCTGCTCTTCCTGTTCATCGTGGTCTTCGCCCTGCTGGGCATGCAGCTGTTCGGGGGACAGTACGTGCCGGGGGCGGGAAGGGGTGCTCAGGGCAGCTGTTCGGGGGACAGGACGTGCCTGGGGCGGGGGTGTGTGCTCAGAGCAGTGGTGCTGGCCCAGCCGCCTCTACCTAAAGGTCACCCACGTGCAGCCTGTGAGGGGCTGGGGCCACGGGGCAGGTCCTGGCTCCTGATGGGCTGCCTTTCTCAAGGCTTCTTGTTTTTCTCAGGTTCAACTTTAAAGAAGAGACTCCAACAACCAACTTTGACACCTTCCCCGCTGCCATCCTCACTGTCTTCCAGGTAAGGCCCCAGCCTAGGCCTCTCTGTCCTGCTCGGCTCTCCTGGGCTGGGAGGGCCGCCCTCCTGTCCCTCCTCAGGCCTCTGCAGCGCACAGTCCACCTGCCAACTCTCCACGCGTGACAGAAGGAGGGCGGCCGCAGGGCCCGTGGCCTGTGATGCCCCCGGAGCTCCCCTGCCACCTCTCAGCCCCACGGACCCGGGGCCCAGCGGCTGTTTATCCTTTGAGAATAAAACAGCAAAGCGCCCCAAGCTCGCTGTCATCCTCTCCTGCCTGCAGGTGCTCCCCACCCCCGTCTCCGTGTGCCTAGGGCTCCCCTGAGGACCCTCTTGCTCGAACACTTACCCCCTGGGCTGTGGCTCCACAGCCGCCCCTGCCAGCCATTTCTGTCCACAGACCTCGGGGCGGCAGGCCTGAGCCGAGCAGCGTGGGGGCTGGCCCTCGGGCACCTGGCAGGTGCACGTGCAGGCAGGGCTCTGAGCGGCCCCTGGTCCTGGGGCTGCCGGCCTCCTCAGCCCAAGCCGGAGCCCACGGCGCCTGCCCGGACGGGGCCTTCCAACCAGGCTGGGCGACTAGAGAGGGACCCACCCACACGCCTCCCTCGATGACCCCCGTCGCCCGTCCCGGTGGGAGCCCCGCAGCCTCTCAGTCCCGGCCGAACAGAGCCAGCCTCGCCCAGGCGACTCCTGCTTCTGGCCAGGGGGACCCGGCCTGTCCCCTCGTGCTTCCAGTCTAGCCTCACCCGCAGTCGCTCTGAGACTGTCTCGACCTCGCCCACGCCGCGCCCTCTGATGCTCACTGCCCTGGCTCCCACAGCCGGGCGCCCGGAGCTTGCTAGCACTTGGTGGGAAGGAGGGTCCTGCGTCTGGGGCACAGGAGAGGTGTCCACGCTGGGCCACGGGCAGAGGGAGGCCACGGCCTTTCCCAAGCACGACACTGCCCGGTGCCCGGCAGGAGCGCCCTCTGTCTCTAGGCCACGGGCCAGCTGGCCACTGGGATGCTGACTGCCAGGCGAGGGGAGATGGCAGGCCGGGTCCGCCAGAGCAGGAAGGAGCGCGGGCGTGGCAGAAGGGGGGCACCAGCCTGGGGGCCTCCGGGCCACAGGGAGAGGCTCTGCCCCAGGGGCCCCCAGCAGAGGCGCCGTGAGCGCAGTCAGAGCTGCTTTGCTGTGCCTGTCATTAGGAAGGACCTGGACGTGGTGGTGGTGATGGGACCCAGGGGGCGAAGAGGCCGGAGTGAGAGAAGGACGGTCTGATGGATGGCGCTCGGGTTTAGACCCGGGCCCTTGTGCGCTGGCACAGAAGCGACGGTAAATAGTTAGAATCTAAGGGCCTCGCCACGTGGACAGCCGCGCCTGGGGGCTGAGACCCGCAGCGGTGCGGGCGCGGGGCCCAGGCACCCCGCAGTTGGGAAGAGGTAGGTGGGCGGGCGTCCGCGCATCGGTCAGCTGTGCGCTGGGCAGGACGGGCCCCAGAGGAGGCCGAGGAGCGCTGACTGGCTGCGTGAGGCCCACAGGATGGTAATGGGCCAGAGGCCTGAGTCCCAGGACTGAGTCCCCGCTCGTGGTGAACCTGCAGACCAGGCCATGTGGCAGGTGCCGCCCCCCCCTCCCCCCCTCCGGGGGCCATGGACACCTACAGTCTGAGCGAGCTCGCCCTGGGGACGTGGAGGTGATGGGACAAACGTGGGTGAAAAAGAATATGTGCCAGGTCCTCGGAAGGTGAGCGGGAGGACTTGGTCACACAACATGGCAGCCGGGCCCCGAGCGCCACGAGCAGGCCCAGGGAAAGGCAGCTCTTTAGATAAACAGGGCGAGCTCACCTGCGAAGGAGCCACGGGCGCGGCCGCCGGCACCATTCCAGAATGTACCCGAGAGCGTGTGTGCTCCGAGGCCAAGCAGGTGAACAAAACTCGAACAAAAACCATTCCAGGCCCGTGGGAGGAGGAGAACATCTTCAGGTCTGCCCTGGAACGCCAGTTTCCTACGGAAGATGGAGTCTGATGGTAGCCTCTGAGCAAGGATGCCGGGAGCCGGGAAAGCAGCGTTAAAGATTGGAGGACAGGCCCTGTCACCCTGCGTCCTTGCAGAGCTGTGATTCGGGGGGTGGGACTAAACACGCGGAGACAGTGTGGGGGCGCCACCGCCCCGCCCCCAGGGCTAACAGCACCAGACATCTCTACATTTAGTAAAGCGATGGTTTAGAGCAGCGGTTCTCAACCTGTGGGTCGCGACCCCTTTGGGGGTCAAACGACCCTTTCACAAGGGTCACCTAAGACCATCGGAAAACACATATAATTACATATTGTTTTTGTGATTAATCATTATGCTTTAATTATGTTCAATTTGTAACAATGACATTGGGGGTCACCACAACATGAGGAACTGTATTAAAGGGTCGCGGCATTAGGAAGGTTGAGAACCACTGGTTTAGAAGAAGCAAGAACATTAAACTAACCCAAGAAGAAACTGAAAACCCGAACTACTCCAGAAATTGAACAGTTAGAAACCTACCCATCTAAGCCACCGTGTCCAGCCGTTTTACAAGTGAGTTGTATGAATGTTTAAGAAAAAATTACTCCAATGTTATGCAGAGACGACAGGGAGAGCGCCCGCTTGCTCTGTGCGGTAGAATAACCGATGGGAACACGGAGGGGCCGCCGCAGACACGGCGCCCGCGGGAATGGCTAATCCCCTCCGGAGGTGTTTCCAGTGATCTCCACAGTCAGCTTGAATTATCCTGGAAGCGCAGGGGGGTTAACATTGGAAAGGCTGTGAATGTAACGCATCATCTTCACTGATTCAAGAAAGGGAAACCTGTAGGATCAGAACTCCAGCAAAAGCACAGCCAGCGCGAGAGAGGACGGCACAGTGAGCTGGGCGCGCGTCGGTACCTGTCCAGTTAGCAGCTCGGGGGGCACTGGGGGCGGGGCACTCTGCCTGGTGCTTATCTGATAAAACCCAACACTGACCCCAAAGGCAGCCTCCGCAGAGTCCACTGGTATCCGTGGTCTTGGCGCCTTAGAACAACAACAGAAAAAGGAAATGAAGTTTCTCGGGATTGACCAGAAATGGATGCCCTCACTCACAGCGAGATGTGCACACAGCACTCGAGGGCGTGGCGGCGTGGTGATCCATAGAGGAAACTAGCGGTCGGACTCCTTCCTGGGCCCGGATTTGCATTTCAGTTCAGATGAATTGAGATCTAAATGTGAAAAGCAAACCTGAAATTGCAGGACATACAGACGGCAACGCCATGAACTCGGCAGGGAAGGAGGAATCAAAAAGCACAGAGCCCAGAGGAAACCATTAACAATTGACGATGAAAGATTTCTGTGCATCAAAAGACACCATAAGAGGATTAAAACAACAAAAGTCACGGACTAGGAGAAATTTCCGCAGTGTCAGCAAGTAACCAACCAGGATTAGTCCAGAGCTCACCAACAGCTTCCCCAAACCAAAGAGACAAGACAGAGAATGCAGCTGGGAGTGGCAGAGACGCCCGGGCTCCTCGCGGGAGAGGTGGGCTGGCAGCAAACCTGTCGGCTGCCACCAGTGTCGGGACCCCGAGAGAGCCTTTCCTTGGCCAGTGCAGCTGGGACGTGGAAACCCAGCGATCCCCGGTTTTAGAGACGATGTGGAGG